TATCCGCTATTCATCCACGCAGATTAGACTATCTGGCGAAGACGGGGACGTCGTCGATGGAACGCGAATCAACGGATATAATCGTTGTGAAAACGAGAAATTCAGCAATTTGAACGTTCCGAGGTAGTTTAACGCGAATGAGATCGCATCGATGTAACTTTAAAGTTAGAAAAAGTCGCTGGAACGGTGCACGTGTGGTTAACGCGTTCGTACATCTCGCGATCTTCATATCCACTGTGAAACACATACGTGGAGCCCGATTCGTTCGAATATAACGATGCAGTGATTCGATAGGCGATTTTCTCGACTCGCAAGATACGCTTTCTGCCATAATTTTAATCGCGTGACAAAACACTCGACGGAAAAGAACGAGTAAAGTAAGATGCCGGATGTACTGTTCGTAGTTTCTTTTTCCTCGCGTAATATCAGAGTATCGTCCCGTTTCTAATTTTCCTTACCTGCTAACCTACTTCGTCGCCGTTCGTGCGAAACAGTGGCGTTCAAACGAACAACCGAATACCGTATCAAGGTCCGTGCAGTCGAACGAACGTTTTGCCACAGCTAAAGGTCGTCGATGGAATCGCGATCTCGTGTTTCGTCGAGTAAACTTTCGCGATTTCTAGCTACGAGCGATCGTTTTGAATAAACTGTGCGAATAGATAAAGGAGTGTGTCTCCTCCGATGTTCCGTTCGATTCTTTTCTTTTCGTTGATCGAATGAAATTCTCGTTCTTTTCCAGCATACAAGAAAGGATCGCCATGTCTTCCCTGCAAGGTCTACCACCGTTACCGAGAAGTCTCAGTGGATTCAATTTGAGCGGTGGACGAAGCGAGGGTTGCGAGCCACCTCCGCCGCCCACCAGATCTTCCAGTAAAACGCAAAGAGGCGGCAAAACTTCGATCCAATCGTCGTCCAGGCCATCGCCACCTGCTCGACAGCTTACCACGTTGGATACGCAGCTGGCCATACTCAGGAGAGAAATGGTGGTTATTGAAAACTTCGTAGCATCGGATCCTTACACCTGTTCATTGTCTATCGCCAGATCATTTTTTGCCTATAGATAAGAACTGTTTATTAGAAAAAGGCAACGGAAAGGGTATTGATCGAATAAAGATATAATCGCGAGAGGAGGCTGGTTCGAATAGGCGGTGTTAATCGTGCGTTTCTGTCAAGATTATAGATTAACGAGTCACAAGGAAAATTCCACGGATTTACGAGTCACGACGCAAGGTTTCTATAAATGGTGGAAGGCCGGAATAATGAAAACGTCACTCATCGCGTGTTAGCGGAATGTCAAGCTTTGTAACTAAGATGAAAACCAGACGTTTTTCAAGCATAATCAGCCTTTCTATCACCTCGTACATGTCGTGTTAAACGGAGTCGTTCCGATCGGATCCGTTACCTCGAGGCCTTATTACGCGTGTATGCCACATAGTAAAACACGGTGAATGTGTATTCAAAGCGTGGGCTTTTCTCTCGAGAAACTAACGCGTTCTTTGTGTCATCAGTTGCGCCGAGGATAAGCTTTTCTTCCTCTTTTCCTCTTCCTTTGAATCAGGTCGACAGAAAGCTATTTTACTAGCAAGATAGTCTATGTCCGTCTGTCTATATCGCGTCTAGTCGAATTTTCGATCTACGATGTACGATGAATATCGCGGTCGCCGTCCAAAAGATAGTTCGCTCGAAAGTCGGGCTAATAGTTTAATAGTTAATCCACACACGGAGGGAACTGGCACAGCCGCTCCCACGCTGCATTCCCTCAGGCGTGACTCCCCTCTTTGCCTCCTTTTTTTCTGGCCGCTCTCTTTCACCTTCGTTCCTTTCTACCTCTACTCTCGTTCTTCCCTCCTTTCTTGTTCCTTCGTTCTTGGTCAACACCTCTCATTCCCATTCTCATTCTGCGTCTCCTACCCAATTCCCTCTTCCTTCATTCCCACGGCAGGTACCGCGAGAGTCGCCACTCTCTTGGGAGTACATCGCGTCAGTTAGTAAATTTGGAATTCCATCGCTTGGCAACCGCATGCTTTGTGACGTTTCTTTCTTAAGTAGTAAACAATAGCGCTATAACTGACGGATAACGATTAAATCCATTTATACTTATGTAACGTTTTACAGTTTGGCCTTCGACAACTGGATCTCTCTTTGCTCGCTCAACTTTGGTCCCTGAACGAATCTATACAAGAATTTCGACAACTGTTGCAAGAACAGGAAGACAGAGCGCCATCTCCTTCGCCCAGCAGCGAGGAAGGAGACGACACCTCTTACGGAACTCACCCTCCACCTCCACCGAGAAGACCGGCTCCTGGTGTACACCTGCATAGACCACCCAGGCCACCCAGACCGGCCAGGCCTCCACCTAGCGACGAATCGCCATCTAGCGAAGAATACGGAGCTGTTTGACGCGTACAACTTCACGCTATACTTGTGTCAAATCGTCTCCTCCAACTACTTGATCATAAGTTTTGACGCGTTATAAGAGATAAAAGGTCTTGTTTAAAGAATTGGTAGAAGGTGACTCGGCGATTCGACGTCGATCGATACGGTTGCTTCTACCTGTACAAGTCCGAACGATGTTATCTAAGAATACGATCTAATGCATCGTTATAAAAAACTTGTTGATGCTCGAAGGTACCTGTAACGTTACATTTCATTACGGAGACATCGGAAATTCTACTATTCCATGGCGTTTCTTGCAATTGCGATCGCTCAGTGGCGATAGATCGTTGCGGAATTGCGCAGCGTGCGAATTGTACGGAGAAATGGCTATTTAAATAAGCATGTACCATTCTTTAATTCGCAAAACTGTGAATGTCAATCCAAAAAAACAACGATCCTCTTTCTCTTTGTATATATATACATACATATATGTATATATACATATTGAATATGTATATATCATATGTATATATATAGAGAGAGATATACACTTACATATATTTCTTAGATAAGGAAAAATTTTATTATCCTCAATAAGAACTATTTTAATTCGATACGCTCTTTTTCTCTATTTGTGATAGCAGTCGAAGGGGCCTTTGATTACTTGATAACTACGATAGACATTCGTTTGCGCTAATCGAGATTTATCCACGATTATTGGTTGGAAGATATTTAGAAACGATCCGAGTCTACGGCACGATGAAACGGCTAGTGAGATCCAAAGAACCGCATTCGGAAGTTCTTGTCTCTTCCATGTTTCTCCACTATTACGTCCATTACAGTTTTCTTTCTTGTTAAAATGAACGGACAAACGCACCGATAAGCCAGACGATAAGAATCTTCGAATTACGATACGACTTATAAAGATTTATGTACATTAATTCGAGTATGTAAAATAAAGGGAAGAATAGATGATACGGAAAATATAATTAGCAAGTTTAATATAACGTGAAAAAATGCAGTGTGATTTACGAGGTTTCTTCGTTTTTCGTTATTTGTTTCCATTTCTACTATCGTGTGTATCAGTGGTTTGTAAGTCGAAATTTCAATCGTAGATGGCGCTTTTTTCGGTATTTGCTTCCATTTCTACTCTCGTACGTACCAGTGGTTTATAAGTTGAAACCCTAATCGTAGATGGCGCTCGTGTTTCGATATTTGCTTCCATTTTTACTCTCGAAGGTATCAGTGGTTTATAAGTCGAAACTAATCGTAAATGGCGCTGTCTACTCGAAAGTTGTAAGTTTTAACCTGACCGTAGCTGTAAGGTTATGTGCTCATTGCTTCGTGCGATAGTGAAAGATTATTTCGGACAATGGCCAACGATCACGGAAACGACGAAAGAGGTAAAAAACGAAAGAAGAAACGATCTCAAATTCAAATGGCAAAAAAGTTGGCACGGCAACGAAATCATGGGTCCGACGTAGACTCCGAGACTTACCAGTACATGGTGCACATCCTGGAGTTAATGAAAAGCGATTTCTCTACCACCGAAGAAAAATTGATATTTGTGAATAACGTGTACGAACAAACTCTTGGTCGAGAAGTCGAATATGCCCGGAATCAGGTTGGTTCCAGGATACTCGACTCGCTTTTAAAGTACGCGAGGTTAGAAACGATTGAGAGGTTAGTCGCTGCTTTCAAATCTACTTTACGACCTCTCAGTAGCGACACGTTCGCTAGCCATGTTTTGCAAAAGATCATAGTAGTTTGCGCCGATAGAGGAAACAAAAGGACGATTTCGGGATCGTGCATCGAACGAGATGCAGATATCAATATAGAGGTTAAAGATTCGGAAATAGAATCTTACAACGGCATCGTGTTGAAACTAAGCAAATATTTTATCAACAATATAGAGGAGTTTGTATTCGATACGTATGCTAATCACGTTTTGAGAACTGTCATAGAATGTCTCGGCGGGCTGATTGACAAGTCTGACAGTAGTAGCGATAAAAAAAAGGTGATATTTGGCGAAAGACGATCGGTCATACAAGAGTACAAAGACTTATTATTCGAAACGTGCAACAGATTATACAGGTGGCCCCGGTTTTTAGAATTTGGTCAAGACGAACTTACATCTGGATTATTGCAAAGCGTCTTATATTCTTTGAACGGTACGTTTCCGGAATTGATGGAAACGTACATTAAAAAAATTACGACAGAATGTTTCAAGCCTGGAAAGGAGGAGCAGGAACCGTCCAACATTTTTCACGCAGAAAGTTCGACCAGATTGCTGGAGGCTTGCTTATCGGTAGCCAGTCCCAAATCTTTCTATACGATTTACGAAGAATATTTTTCAGGTAATTTGAAACGGCTATCGTCGATGCGGAGCACAAATTTCAGCGTACAGCGATTATTCGATCACTGTACCGCTAAGGAACATTTCGAACAATTATTCGAAGAAATTCACACACATTTCACCGAACTCCTCGACACGGGTCATACCGGTGTTTTGGTTAGCGTGGCGAATGCATGTTTGAGACTGCAAACGAAACAAGGTGCGTTCGTAACTGATCTGTTGAAAGTTCTAGGGTGTGAAACAAACGAGAGACAGCATCGAATCGTGGCGTGTGTAGTAAGCCTAAGAACGTTCGAACATTGGGAAAATTCAGAAGGGAAAAAGGAAAACGATTTGAAACGTTCGATCAGCTTACACGGAAGTTTGATCGTACAGGACATTCTTAGGTTTAACAAACCCATCAAAATGGTTAATTCTTTGTTGGAAACAGACGTGGAGGAACTAGCGCAAATATTTGAAGATCCGAAAGGCAGCCGCATCGTAGACGCTTTTATGGACAGCAAATACATCGGCGAGAAGAGCAGGGAGAAGCTTGCGAAGAAATTGAAAGGATACTGGGCGCAATTAGCTCGCAGTACACACGGTTCCAGAAGCTTGGACAGAATATGGGAATGGGCGCGTATAAATCAGAGAACATTGATCGTGGAAGAGTTAGCAGCAGTCGGAGAATCTTTACGTTCGACCAAATCCGGACAAATCATGTCTAACAAACTAAACGTTCCGCTATTTACGAGAAACAAGAAAGATTGGATGGAAGCGTTAGGAAAGGAAGAAAAGACCAGATCCCTTTTTGTAGATATAATTGGGAATACGGCGAAAAAAGGGAAATAACGTTTTTCTATGAAATTGTCGCGACACTCGACAACAAATACCGCCACTCGACACTAACTTCGACCGGACGACGGCAGCGCTGTGGTTAGCGTCTTAGGTTACGAACGTTCGGGACCCGGCGCCCTTAGTCCTATTTTTCTTCCACGCATCTAAATTAGAAGAAAAAATGGCGTACCCCAGCAGCAGCGACATCTACATCCAGCAGCTACAAGTATCACGGACAACACTTTTTACACCTGAAAATCTTGTTGTTTATATTAATGAAATGTCTTCGTGTGTAAAAAAAAAAAGAAAAATGTAAAGAATATAAACGCAGAAGAGAATAACGATGCCAGTGCTCGTTCTTTAAGCGTTATGACACAGAATAATCATGTATTTTCTTAATTTGTAAATACAATCTATAGAATCCATCATACATCCCTGCAACTTAATACAGCTAGAAAAACATACAACGATTCGTAGTCTAGATTTGAGCAAAGTCCTCTCCTAACGCGCGCACGACTGATAAACTCGTTTCATCTGCCGACTCGACAATGACTAGACTCGTAAACGTATACATGCGTTTATACACTGTTACGCGTATAAAATAAAACATCGTATTAATCTATCAATTGACTAGGAGAAAGATCGATAGCGCACTACTTTACGCGGTACATCGACTTCGGTAAAAGAAGAGGAAAATTGAATGTATTACGCCACGTTTCGTGTTACTTATATTACGGCTCTAAGACGAATAAAACAATAACGATCGTGGAACAACAACGGAAAATTATCCTAAACTTATTTCGATGAAACACGCGAAATATCCCCGCGTCGAAGGTAATCGTTTCTTCGTGCTACATGTTCGTAGAGACCTAGAGAGCGTATAACGTGTCGTCATTTTCTTTGTTATCATCTTTCGGTATTTTATCTTCTTGTTTCTTTGGTAGCGTAAAATCGCGTAGTATCATAAAAATTACGTTTATGGGATCGTTTGCTGTTTGGGCGGCATTATTTCGTTTGTCTTTCAATTTTTATTCGTACGTTCGCCGTACGAATTATCGAAATATAGCAAGAATCGGCACTATTCTTATATTTGATATTTGCAATATTTAAAACGATCGTTTATTCGAACCATCTACGATCCGAAATATACATATATACACTTTGTATTATTTATCTCTACTTTGTCGCTTCGATCAAATAGCAATACAACAAACCGTTACACGTACTATCCTAGAGAAGAAATTCGACCAACGGTTACACCTACGATCATAGAGAGGAAAAATTTCCGTTTTATCCGCATCGCGTACTGTTCCCGTAACTTTGCATCTGTAGATACCGAAGGAATTGCTTTAACCATTTAGCTTGACGATGTTACCGACGAATGAATTTCGGAAAATATACGCAACTTTGCCTCGTAGAAGTACGCAACGGTGGTAGTAGTGTTCGAACAAAAACGCAACCGAGTGGCGTATAGCCTGTACCAAGTAGCTAAACCAGTAGAAATGGGAAAGGGGCAGCGAAGATGTATGATTCGACAGGGGCAGGAAGGAGCGTATGTATCGCGAGCGCGCGCTGTCTGGCGGTACGAACGCCGTTGACATTAACGCGAATCGTATTGGACCGGTCTAGTGAATCGTCGGAATCGATAATAGTTGCTGTCGTAACGTCACTTTCCTTTGGTCGCGCCGCTGGCCGGTATCGGTGCTGCGACGTTCGCCTCGTTCACGCTAGCGATTCTTGGCGGACTGCGAGACGCGGATCTTCGAGGTTCGCGAGGCGGAGGATTGTTACACGTCGCGTGGTGACCTCCGGCCTCCCAGTCTCGATGTTGACAAAAGGAGCCACAGTATCGCGCTATTCCGCAGCCACCGCACGTTTCCAACGCTGGTCTGCCACAGTTCCAACAACTCTGAAAACCGATTTGACGATGCGAGCAAACGGTAGGATCGGCATCGCGATGACGAAACGCCACATATACTCACGGATCCCGAGACGGTTTGCAATTGCGTGGCTGCTTCCTTCTCGTCTTCGCTGATCGACGGAATCGAGTTGGAAACGGAATTGGTCGGTGTGGTGGCAACGGTCCTAGCGTTCGCATCGACCGCTCCATGGTTACCATGTACTCGAAGGTACGATCCTTGGCGAAGGCCGCCGCCGTGGTTTCTTTGAGACAACGGAACATCCAGCATTCGATGAACTCGTAGGCGTTCGTTCGCTCTAGACTCGGCTACCGCAACTCTCACGGCGCGCTGTACCTCGGCCA